GGCCAGTGGGGCGCACATGGTTTAAATATTTTCAAGGTACAAGAAAATATGCAGTCGCCAAGCAAAAAGAACAAATGCGCTGAACTAAACAGAATAATGCGAACGAAAGAGACATCGTGACACCGACAGAGGGGGGTCAAAGAGGGAGAGCGAGAGCGTGAGTGTGAGAGAGGTGCTTGCTGACACCTACAGTTGGGCACGTTGTTGTTCATAAAGGGGGATGCAACGATGGGGCTTTGCTGGGCATCATGAAAACAAAATCAAAAGCGCACAATTAGGCCAAACGAGCACAGAGACGGCAAATAACAGAACAGAAGAGAACGGAGAAGAGAAGAGAACAGCACTGTACAGTATAGTGCACGTACATACAAACAAACAGGTCGACCAGACATGCATACATATGTGCAGATACGTATGTATGCCTATGCATGTGTATTTCTATGTTTGTTTGTGTGTGTGTGTGCATGTAGCAATGTGTGTTTTATGCAAATTACTGTGGCAAGTTGCGGGCGAGCTCACGAAGCACACACACACGAATTGCAAAACTATGTCGCTGGGTTTCTGTTACTCGTGTGCGCGCCTTCTGTTGTTATTGTTGTTGTTGCAGAGTGGGCGTCCAATCACAGGTGCTGAGGTGCTCAACTGCCCAGTCCAATGGGGAAAATAGAAAAGGTGCGTCTATGAATTACCCATAAACAAAAAACCCCAACAAAATAGCAACAAAGCACAAGAAACGAAACGAAGAAAAACGGGGAAGACATGGATTCTCCAAGTCAAAGTAAACAGTTAACGGTTGGGCCGCTACAGCAGTTGCCCCCTAATCGAACAAACTGTAATTGTATTGAGCAATATGCCCAAAAGTGATGGCAGATTTGCATGCCAACAAAAATTCAATAAATAGTGTTGATTAGGTGAACGATAGTCATATACAACAAATGTACATACTTGTAGTTAATCGAGTACAAGGATCAATAAAAAAATCAAAAGTATCCATAGATTTATTTCGAAAATATGTACGCAATTGTTATTTAAACATGAATCTACGTGGCTTTAATAAATTTTAAGTTTTATTATGTTTAGACATTTTATATAATTTATATTTTTATTAGTATTTTTCAGTATTTTTAATATTTTAAAAAACTTTCAGTTGGGTTTGAGCCTTGCAACTTGCATCGAAAGATAATATGTTCTATTATGGGATCGAAATTGGTGTTAATGCAGTTGCGGAACTGATTGCTTCTTACTTGCACTCAATTCTCCATACAGTTTAATTTCCACTAATTTAATAGCAATTTTCAGAAAGACTGGTCCCTATATTTCAAATTCAAATGGACAAAAAAAGACATGTAAATCTACGAAGTATGGAAAATACATACATATGTATAGAAATATGGTGGTGATGTCTATATTTGGCGTCTTCATGGGTTGTCTAAGGAGTTAGAAACAGCAAACTAGATTTTAAAACGCAAGCTTCAATTCCGTATTCCACTTTGGACACAATGCTCGACCCACTGACTTTTTGTTGTCTGGCAGCATTAGGAACTCCGCATAATTAGGCACACAGATAGCGTGGGCAGAAGCGGCCTTTCTTATTCTAATCGAAAAGTTTATGCCTGTACGAGTATTGCAACATTATGGAGCAGCCAGAAGGCAACATGTTTCAGCAACATTGCTGCACCAACTAGATACTTGCGAGAGTAATTAAGTGAATAAATTAAATGACACTGGTATAATAATTAAAAATAAAGCCGTCGGTCGCGACAATGAAACAAATAGTTTTTATATGTGCGACCATATTTTTGGCATTTTAATTAAAATTTGCCCCAGTTTCTGCTTCCCCCTCCACTCCCACCACTCCCGCCACTCCGCACCATTCAACCGGGGACAGTCGCCAATATGCCACTTGTCGGCTGGGCCGTGCGATAAGTGTGCGGGACAAGTGAGATTGGGCATCAAGCCGAGAGCGTGTGTGAGAGAGGAGACCCAATTTTTGAGAATCAATGCTGGCAGCGACTGCCATTGGCAGCGCCAGCGGCGACATTCACATTGTATACAAATGTACATAGTATGTACATAGATACATACATATGTAGGTATATACTTGTTCATAGAAGTACATATGTATGTAAGCATGTGTATTCTTCACATGTATGTACATATGTAAGAATGTGTTTTCGAGCCCCCAAGGCACCATTACCATTTCATTTTTGGCACGTCGTTGGCTGCACTTTTTTCGTTTCCTCTTCCCCCTCTATGCAACTATTTTCGTTGCTACCACTGTGGCAGCCAGCAACTGTTTTTTCGCTTCGAGGTATGCACAACGTACTTGCCGCACAGCCGCAGTCGCAACCGCAGTTGCAGCTTGCAAGTTGCAACCCCCTCCTCAACCACCAGAGGCGCCATGATCACATAGCGCGAATGCCAGCCCCGCGACCGCTCTCATTATTGTTATTATTTTGTATGCCGTCAGTTCTTATGCCTTTTTTAATGCTTATTGTTTTTTGCTTTAGCGCGCTTTTGACTTTGCTTTGTTGTCATTTTTCTTGTTGCTGTTGCTGCTTATTAAATATTCCCATTTTATTTGTCGCCCGTTGCTGACTGTGTTCATTGTTACGTCATAGTCGCAGGCATTTCAATTCATTAACGGCGCTTCAATTGAATCAACGACGATGACAAGTACATATGTAGATACAACAACAATGCTTACGACAACAAAATGAGCAAAACAGCAAAGTTAATAAATTAATAAAAACAATACACATATAGTACATATACATACATATGCCAGTCAGTATGCATGTTCTATCTATGAAATAACTAAAATGCAATTCATTTAGTTTGCTGTACATACATATGTACATACTAATGTCAGTACATATGTTTGTATGGATGTACATATGTATACATACATACATGTGCGTACATATAGCAACATAATGTGTTCCTTACTTAAAGACTTTGAACTTGAAAAGTTTTGAAAGAGGGACTTCGCAGGTATTGCTGTAGTTAAAGCACGAAGGACTCGAATTATTCAAAAAATAACCTGCACCACTGATTCGATTACAAATAAATAACGTACGATAGCAGAGCCAAGAATTTATAATGGCTTCCTCACTTAATGTTATTGTCTGTCAACAAAAGTATAAAGACTTCTGCAATTATTAAATAGAGGATTCCTCGCAACACTAGATAGTTGGCAACTGCAAAAACTGATTCCTGATTCAATTCTACGACTATGTATATACATAGGTTAATTTACTATCTTTACAATTATTATATTTTGATTGAATGCTCAATAGAGTACCAACACACAAGTAAGCACGATGGCGAAATTCTATGGTGATGGTTTGGCTCAGCTTTTATATTGAAGGGTATTTCTGAGTTTTTTTTTTGTCAAAACCAACGAATTGAATTAGATGGGCTACTATAAATACCTACTTGTATGTACATATAGTATGTATAGACATATCCTGTCGTTTTAGTAATTTTCCTCACAAAGCAGCACACCTTTTGCCTAATAAACTGAGAACTTCATACCAACTAAAATAACAATAAAAAAATAAAAAACTGTCGCTGCCCATTATGCCAAATAGGTTAACAGCCATTTCGTGCCTTTTGCACAAAAAGTTGTTTTCGTTTCTGGTGTTTGCATAAACCTTGGCATGTTTTGTTTGCGATCGCACCCAACAGCCATCTATGTACTTGTACTCGTACATACATACATATGTATGTTTGAACAGACATACAGACATGTACATATGAATGTATGTCTCTGCTGACAAAGTCGACCTGTAAATTGCGCAACGGGTGCTAGGGAGTGGGCGGGATGAGGGAGGGTGAAGAGCAGCATGTGCATGTAAAGCGACAAGAGACAATTTAATGCCTATTTGCATTTTACAACAAACTAGAAAATGCGGCAACGATGAGAGAACGAGGCTAGTGAGAGAGGAGAGACGAGAGAATTTATGAGAAGATACCCAAACAAGGGCCATGGCAGAGGGGGCGGGCAGGATAGTCCACAACTTAAACAGCTGGCTGAGGAGATTATTATAGCGAGATTAGTTTGCATCGCGGGCCGCAACTAACTTTGATTAGAGATGGCTCAACAGGGGCTGGAATGGGGAATTGGGACTGGTTGGCATATAATTTCATTAAATTGTACAAAAATGTTGAAAACGTACAAAATGGGGAAAAACTACCAGAACATACATACATACATACACACATACATAGTGTCACTATGTATGTAAATACATACATATGTAAATATAAGTAACATATTTTAACAGCTGCTGAATCGCAGAGAATCAGAAAAATAGAGGAAGAGCAAGAGAGAAAATGAAGCGGAGCCTGAAATGCTGCGCATATGGAAGATATAGAAAAATAGTAAGATTATAGTACAGTGAAAACTGTTTGCGACGGACAATCCAGCAATAATAGGAATTGTTGGCATCAATTCACACATACATGGGTATCGATAATATAGTGTAACAATATCGATTCCGTAATATTGGAGCTGCCCATTTGTAGAGTTTTCACTGTACATGAATAACAGCAACTATAGTTATCACTAAAAAGGAAAATAAATACACTAAGCTATTTAAGAAAATGTTAAATTCTAAGCGATATTATAACTAGATATATTCACCTTTTTGCAAGGAGTCGTGCATAGAACTGCAATTATTTCAGTGGCCTATATATGAAAGGGCTACTTTTTGCTGAATACTATATACACACATATACACATATACTATTTGGTATATACATATATATACGTATGTATATACTTCATATATGAACGTACATATGCAGGTATATAGGACTATATTGCTGGCGTTGCTATTGCTTGCTTTATTGAAACTATATAATTAATTATAGGATTTTTCCAACGAAAACATACATATACATATGCATATCAGTTGCGAGTAGATTGATTCTTGATATTCTTCTTCTTCTTTTCGTTTAGTATAACTTTTGTTTTTATTTGAAGTTCAACTTACAGTTAGTTTCAGTCGTTATTGTTGTTATTATTCTTGTTGCGTGCGCACGATTAACGAAATTAATTTAACGAATTCAAACTCAACCTTTTTCATTGGTTATGTAAAGCGCACTCGCATACATACATACATACATACATACAAATGTACATACACACGCACACACAAGTACACCGACGCAAATTCCCGCTAATTCCAACGCGCAAACAAACTTCTCAACATATGCATATGTGTGTATGTACGAGTATAAGTAAATGTTTATTTGTTTGTATGTAAGAAATTTGGCTTGCCAGCTATCCAGTCCGTATTCATCAACTTGCACAAATTTTTTGAAACTATATCAGCAGCAACGTTATCTCGAACTGCTGTTGAATATATGAACACACTGTATGTGTGTATGTATGTTTGTATATATACACATATGTACATATGTTTGTGCAATATGCCTTTGCCGTTGCTTTTCACGTACGCGTTGCGTCTTCTACTTTACGTGTTTGCGTGCTCGTCTCTCGTTTAATTCTAACTCGGACAGCAGAAAAAGTGCCGCAGTCGCAGCAGCTGGGAAAAGCAAACAGCAGCAAAGCTCAAGCTATCGAAAAGTTTCTGACGTGCTCCGGCAGCTTACTCTCTTCATTCTCTCTTTCCCTCTCTCTCTCCCTCTCTCTCTCTCGCGTGTTTATGGTCTCTTCCAGCATTGCTTTCTTATTTGTATCTGTGTGCCACGTACACGTGCCACTGCTGTTTACTTTGTTTGCATTTGTGTGGTACATTTTGTACATTGATTTTTATAAGTGTACATACATACATATGTATGTGTTTACATACACACATAGATATATGTATGTATGTATATGAATATGTACATACAGTTAACGCTTTGTCGCCTGCACACTCAAATTTAGCATCGAATCGCTTCGTGCCAGCTGTTTGTTTTAAAATGTATTTTTCAATTACATTTTGCGATTCATTTTGTCGCAACTCACTCTCTGACTTTGCTCTCTGGAGCTTTCGCGGCCACTTGGTGCTCTTCTAATGTTCTCACGCAGACTCTCAGTGCTTGGCAACGTCGCGAGTCGCGACTGAGAGCTCCGAAGGTATCGAGAGTGCGTGCCTAAGTGTTATTATGTTGTGGCTGTGCCGCTTATTAGGGCACTAGGTTTTCTTGCAAAGAAAAGTGCTGCACAAACCCACACACAGACACACACATATATATATGAATATCCATACATATGTATATGCTAGAAAGAAGCGGAAGAGAGCAGTGTTAGGACAACATTTTGCATTTCCTGTGAGGCTAGTAGTGCTTCTTCCTCTTCTCCCGTTGCAACGACTGTTCAATGAATTGCAGTTGAAACACGTTGCGTATGAGCAATGTGCCTAATCTCGCCTTGAGCTGAATGTTAATTGCATTGCAGACCAAATTGTTTATGACATAATAAAATAAAGAGACGAAAAGGCGAAGAGAGACATCGATCAGTTCGAGTCACACCAACCAATTAAGAGACAAGGCTGTTATACACATACTGGAGTCGGTGCATTCAAGACGCTCTCGACAATAACAAGAAAAACTTGTTACAAAATTCGATTAAAATATGCATATTATGTATACGCGCTGTGGGCGCAAGCAGCAGTTTGAAGCCCACTGTGTTTTATCAGCCAAGCGTTTTGCTATCAGCGTGAGAGGAAAACTGTTAAAAAGCTTTGCAAAGGCGCTCACACATACTCTCGCGCGGTCGTACAGCCTTGTGTGCCGTGGTGAGTGTTCGCTCTTTTCTGGTGTCGATTTGACACACTTTTATATGACGTCGTTGATTTTAATTTCGTTGGTTCGCTCATTTTTTCTGATACCCTGAAGAGAATGGGGCCAATAAGAATCTACCTGACTAATGTAATTATAATTCACATCAGAAACATGTTCTAGCCAGAATTGAGTTTCTTAACGCACATATATGTACATTAGTTGCGCTTGCATTCAAAAGCCCAGTTGCTTGATAGTTCAGTCCTTACAGCTGATTGGGCGATCTATGTATGTATGTATGACTGACATTGTAGAGAATAATGTCTTCGGTGTCCCTAATCAGATTTGGCGCGTGTTTTTTGTATGCGGTCTCCCGTTTGTTCGTTCTTTCGATTGCTCGTTTATGCTTTTGCGTTCCCTTTTTTCGTTTCTGTGTTACTCTGCATGACATTTGACCATTGGAATGAGGGGTTCCTTATTATTTAACATACTATTCGTTGCTGGATTTTTAGATTATGTTTGCTTGATGCCTCATCAGATAAAAAGCAGTGGCAACAGCATCAGTAAATTGTAATTAATACAAAACTAGCTGTTATTGTTGTTATTGCTGTTGATTCAGTCTTTGTTATTGCACGCTTCCAATAAGCCATCTGCTGGTCCGTATTGGAATGCTTTATTGTTATTTCTCTACCTCAGACAGTTCCAGCGATTAGATTTTAAGTGTTAATTAGATTTTGTTTCAGCACTTCAAATGTAGCGCGTTACAATTTCTGTTTTTTTTTCTTTTTACTCTGTCCCTATGTGTGTGTGTGTGTGTGTGTCTGTATCTGTGTTTGTGAGTATTTATGTAACCAGCATGGCAAGTGAGCGAGCAGAGGCGCGCACATACCGAGACATAGATACAGATACTTTTTGGCATTGAAACAAAACGTAGTTCAAAAAAGCACACACTACATACACGCACATTTACACACACGCGCTCATGCAAGCACAAATACAGACGCACGAGCGACAAAACTTAGAAGACGGCGCAAAGAACGTCGAAGAAACTAACGTGCGACGCATAAACACGAACAAACTCACACACTCACAGATACAAATAAGCTTAGAGAGATACATACACTCACATGTACATAAGCACAACCACCGAACCACACATCCAAGCATCCATACACATGTGAATAGCGTACGCGTGTTCATTTAATTTAATATTGTTCATTAGAATTAAATCCAACAACAAAAACAATAGCCACATTGATATTTTCGTATTTCATTATACTTGGGACTGGCTCTCAGTCTCAGATGCGACTTCTCTTTCTAAGCCATTAGAGGCGTCTTATAATGAGCTTCGAAGTTATTTACGCTGCCACCAATGGCTATAATTCAGTTATATGTATGGTTATTAGTCCAATCCAATTCGCATTTCTGATATGCATACATATGTATGTAGTTTCTTTTGTTTTTGTTCTCGTTTCTGTGCTGCAACCGCAGTACTCAGAACTATTTTATAGAGCACTGTGCTTATATAGTTATGTATGAATTACATATATAAGTACCATATAAACAAAACTCACTGGCACTCTGGACTGTCTGAATCAACTCTGAATTGAACACTGAACTGAGGCCGAACTGAAAATCTGAAGCAAGCGCGTTGGCTCCGCTTCGTTCGCTCGTTTCATGGACTAGGCACTCTCCTCTCTCGTCGATGCTACGATTTCTGTACAGAATTCAAAATTCCGATGGTGGGTTAGTCAGTGGTTGCACACATTTGAGACCACGAGAACGAGTGTCTTGTATCTATGTGTCTATGGGTCGTCCATGTGTTGGTGAGCGTGCTGCTCACTCACCGATTCAGATTCAGTTTTGCTTTCGTTTTCCACTTCCAATTGGAAGAGCACATGCCCACTCTCAGATTAGTGGACGCTCTCTTTTTAAATTCCCCCTCCCTCTCTCTCTCTCTCTCTCTCACGCGCTCTCTCTGCCTTTTTTTGAAAACAACCACTTTACGCTCAATTTGGATTCAATATGATTTTCCAAGCGCACACAAAACACGCGCTCGTACTCGTGTTCGTGCCTTGTCCCACTGTCGCATATCCTACACGAGTATGACTGTGAAAACTCGAATAGGTCATACCGTAGAAGCTGGCAGATTGCGCGAGGAAGCGCATCGGTTCAAAATGCCTTCCTGGCCGTTTGCTAAATGTTTCCTCTTGTTGACTCTTTACAATTGGCGAGAATTTAATAATTGAATATAATAAATAGAAGATAAATATCTCAAATAGCAATAATTTAATAATTCGAAATAATCAATACATAAATCTTAAGTACTATACGAATAGAGTTGGGTGTGATTAAAAATTTGGATTCACTAAGTGTGAAAAAAGCACTAATAAGGGGAAATCGGACCAGGCTTGTTTTACCTAATATAGGGTGTATTAACTCTTCGATGTATAATTATTTATTTACAGGCACACTTAATTTGGCTTAAATCTCAATTATTACCGATTATTTTCCAAAAAAAAAATTGCAATATTGGCAGTCATAAACCTCCACAGCGACTATCAACTGAATTTTATATGTGGCTGCTTTATATAATTTTACAAAATATAGTCGAATTTATACATTACACTAATATATCATATATGTATGTAGCTGCCATATAAATGATAGCACTATTTTCCAATACTTTCCTGGTTTTTGATCAAATTCAGTATGTGGTGATTTTACAATATAAGCATGTTCATATACGCACTCTCTAAACTAGTAAGTACATGAAATGTACAAGAGTATATTATATTTGCGCGAGCTGAAAAATGTAACAGGCAGAAAGAAGCGTGGCAAACCTCACAAAGTATAAATATGCTTGATCAGCATGAAAAGACGAGTCGATCTATGTCTGTTGTCTGTCCGTCCGTCCGTATGAACACCTGGATCTATAAGAGCTAGAGACACCAAACTTTGCACAAAGATGCCTTATGTGTGCACGCGTGCAAGTTTGTTTTTTTGACACCCCCCCCCCCCCCCCACATCCTCTTAAAAGGGGGTTTTCCGTATTTCCGTTCTCATAACCACTTATATCTCGGAGACTATAAGACCTAGGGACACAAATCCCAGATGCCTTAATTGAATACGCAGAAAACGTATATTTTGGAACTGATTTTTCGTAACTCCTGTATTTTTTGTAATTTTTCATTGAAACATGCATAGACACGCATATTTGCAAATCGTATGTTAGTATGCATTTATACCGCTTCGAGTTCGAATACCAACGGAGGTAAATTTTATCAAAAATTTTCTTAATTATTTTAATTTCTATAATTATGCTAAACATATGTATAGAGTTTTTCAATGTCGGGAAACCCGACTTTAGCTTCTCCACTTATTTTTCGTTTTCATTTTGGATACAAACCCCACCTATAATCATATTTATCTTTTTATTAGGTCGTAAACGAAAAACTGTCAATATAACTATTGTTGCTGGAAATATATACCAAGCGTGAGTAAACGGTATTACCGATTATAACTCACCTTTGTTGTTGGTTGGACTATCGTCATTTAAGTACTAATGTAGAGAAACGAGAATGTAGGTCGACTCCGCTTAGTATAACGAGATGTTCAACATTAACTCCTAATTTTAATTATTTGCTTCAGTTGTTTATAAATTACAAGTCTGTTAGTTTGACATGAAATCGGGAAGCCAAGCCATATTTCTTGCACACATAATGTACATATATCAAGATTATTCTTTGCAGCTCATGTTGCTTTCGCTATACGACTTATCAAAATAAATACAAAAAACATGCAGATCTTATTTTAAATATAAGATTCTCATTTATTACCTAAGCTAATCGATTTATCCGTTAAACTTAATATTCAAACAATAAATCGAGTCATGAAGAAAGTTTGCTTTACAATTTGTTGATGCACCGTTACTTTTATAAATCTAGCGCCAACTTAATTGTGTCGCTAAATATGTAAAATAAATGTATAGATTCGATGCCTTGTTAATTAAATTATTGAGGTTCATAATTAACGTAATTAACTGAAACGTACATTTTATTGTTTCTAACCTCTATTGAGATTCATTTAATTCGAGTTAAAAACCAATTTGGTGACGTCGTGTACAGTGATACAGTATTAAATGTATTATAAATATATTGCGATTACGTCTTCCCTGACTACACTTCCTTTATGTAACAGTAATTATTGTTGTTAATTATGCTGTAGTGTTAAGTTAGATATTGTTTGTTTTAAAACGCAACACGTTTTAAAAATATCACACAGAAAACCAAATTTAAAGTATACAAGTGTACAATTAAAATAAGTGAATAGACCTGAATCGAACACAAATCTGATGCCTGTGCCTTTTAGTGAGTTGAGATTTCTACTTCATATAATATATTTTAAATACGTAATTGTTCGTTTACGTAAAGTTTTATGTTGTGTCAGTGCTTTTGTAGAATGGCTTAATAAATATGCGTCTAAATAAAATTCAAAGAATTAGCGTGCCTGGGGCACCCAGCAGAGATTCATTAGTTAGTGTTGTGGCCATTGCTGTTGGTCCTTTTTGAAGGAAGCAAGTCAACTCTCATTGCTTGGGTACGTAACTACATAAGCTGCAGTTTCCATAGGACACAATGCAGGCGCTTTCTTCGGCTCATACTGCTGCAGTTTCTGCAAAAAAGTAAGAGTGCTACGGTCACAGCTTATAATGCGCTGATCCCCGGTTTCCAGCAAACTGCAAACATCAAACTGCAAGCAAATGAATTTGAAAACATTATTAGGAATTGGAATTTAGTGTAATTATACATTTTGAGGTAAAATAATTTATACATAATTTAGAATATAGTATATATATTCTAAGCAATCCATGAGAGAAACTTTTTCCCTGATAAGACATGTCGATTCTACCAATCGTTGCATTAAAACATGCAACTTCAGTAGTTGGGTGTTGCAAAAATTATATAAAGACCAAATTTTGTAATGATATAAATAACATAGCTCTCTGAGATACAGATTTCATACGGACGGATGGCCAGACTTAGCTAAATTGTTTAGTCTTTAGTGTACCCTTTCATATTCCCCAGACAACTTTAGTGGTTTTCTTTGTTACCTTCTTTGCTTTGGGCTCGACTCCACATTGCTGCACCTGTGTACGATGTAGGACAAAGCCTATGCGCTGTGATTTTGCTGTGGCTTTGCTCAGGCGTCTCATTACAACAACATCCAGATCCTCATTAGCGGACGGATGACTGCTACCGAATTGCGGCAAAGCGCCCGTCCAGCCATTCTCGGCGAATATGAATTTATCCAGAGGATCCAGCAAAGCTTGCGATGCCTTCAATGATGCACTAGTAAGATATCCAGCAGCATGTGCCTCTGAGGGTCGAGCACATCTACTGATTTCCTCAACGACCAAACGGAATATATGCATCACTGGTTTGTTGTCCAGCACTCCCTGGCCTAAACCGCGATCGTCATCGCTGGCCAAGCGACGATCCTGCATAATTTCAATCTCGCCTACGGCTAATGAAGAGCCGCCCAATGGCTGGGCCGTGAGGAATGTTAAACGTGTGTTAGCATCTTCTATAAAAATGGCTGATGGTACGGGGTAGTAGTTCGCCTGAAGCGGCAGCTTGCTGAAACGTCTGCGCTTAATGTGCTGCAAACCATTTAGATCAGTGTAGAAGACATCACCGCTATTGATGCGGGTCTGCAAACGCATGACAATCTCAGTATTGTCAGCGTCCCCAATGTCCACGAGATTACGTATTTCGGGAGCATCACCGCCGAGTATTGTCTGATGCACTACAAAAGGCAGTCCTACGCTGACGGAGGACTCCAACTGACCCTCGGTGACCAACACCACCGGCGACATTGTCGAAATAGTGGAGGCGGGTCCGTCAGGCAGAAATAGATAGGCTCCAGATCGATCACCATGACTTCTGGTGCCATATTTCACAAATTTTAAATGTACAGGCACGTGTTCAGTATCTGGAGAGATTTGTATTGACTTAAGTAGGCCGCGATCGCTGAAGGCAACTTTGGGACCGTTGCCAACTCGTAGTGAAAGTTCTCTATGATCTCCGAATTTTACGGCCTCTGGATAATCACCCAGGTTAACGGAAATGGGCTTGCTTCTTAGCAAGAGATTTGAGGCATAGGAAGTGTCTCTGCAAGAATCAAATAAGTATGATATAATTATTATAATTTGGAGTAGATTTGGGGAATATTAAAACTTACGGAGATTTTGAAGCAGTGAGTGTCAAAACATATGTAGAAAGTCCCATTGGTGGCACCCGCGCTTTAAAAATAACGCGGTACTTTGTGGTCGAACCCTGAGGATGTATGGTTTGGGTAATCCTATCTCGATACCAGCTCCATACAGGTGAAACTTGCGCCTGCACAGAATTGCCTGCCAAGTCGCTGACACTCACAAAAGGTGTAGAAACGTAGAAATCAACCAACTGCTTGCGCCACCGTGGTAACGTATTGTGTATGACTACGTGCTTGGTTGGCAGCTCCTCGCCCAGTATGATTGTGGTACGACTATCGTTTACACCAGACCCCGGCCAACGTGAATCATCGAGTGTGAAATAATGAAATTTAAAGTCCGGGCTATATATGGATGGTTTAGTTAGCAGTCGGTAAACTGCCTGCTGCATGACAAATTGACAAGCTCTGATCGCCTCAAACAGTCTCTTCTCGTAGTCCAGCACTACATGGGTTTTTTCAGTGCCGGTAATGCCGTCATGATGCTGAAAAAGCGAAAGATCACGACGTGCCTGTTCCAACTTGCGGGCGAGGCCAGCTGCATCTTCCCATTCGTTCCAGGCATATAGCATCTCGGCTGCCCGCACGTAGTGCATCAGTACACGGTCCATGCGCTTGTGATACGGACGCGACGTGTAATAGCCACTCCAATAATGATCGACGCGATCGGCATACGTAAAGAAGTCGCCACTAAGCGAGGGAAACTTTTGAGTCGGCTCCCGATGCACTTCATCAAAATACTCCTGCAGCGTACCAAACTTGGCTTCCACATTAAAGTGCGACTCGCTGTTGATGTGCTCAAAGAGTTTTTCGTAATTGATGCGCTGCACATCCCACTCGGTGGACTGTTTGTAACGAAAATCATCGCCTAAAGGCACGAGTAGTGCATTTGTGCGGTAAAGTTCGGCCTTTTTCTTCCATTGATCAACGATCATCGCAGACCGTGCGGCAACATTGTTCTCATCAATTTGTTTTGGTGGCACATGCCATGGACAGCTCAGTCCAAATTGAGCCAGCCTTTTAAAATCGAATTGGCAGCATATTTTTGGATCCGGTCCACAAGTATGTGGTATGTCGTACGAGTAGAAGGGCATCATGTGTGTAAAGAGACCCGTGTCGCCTTCAAGATCCCACAATTGACGCCAAAAGAACTCGAGATTGCGATGCATGGCTAGCTCCTTCTTCACCGAATAATGCGTGCGCTGTATCAGCAGATTTTGGAATCCACTCTTCTGCAATATATACGGCAAAGTGGGGCTGTGCCCAAACGGATCAATGGACCAGGAAGATGTGGGAGTTACGTTAACGTGAGTTTTAAGCCACGTCTGCCCTTCGGTTAGCTGCAGCAACACATTACGCCAGTGTGAATTCGCTTCGTCAGGCATTACCCAGCCGCCCGTGACGAATTCCAGTTGACGGTTCTGAATGATTCTTTAAGTACAAATTTTACATATAAGCCTAAGCTGAATTAATATTATCATTTTTGTGCTTACTTTTTCATCAATTGTTTTTTGTTTTCGCCCAATTCATCGAAGAATCGCGCAAAGTATGAAATCTCAGCCCAAATAAATTTCATGTCAGGATTCTCATCCAAATGCCTCAACGCATTTGAAAGAATATGTTTCGTTTCACGCTGATAGTATTCCTCAAACGTTTCCAGCCAACCAGGGTCATTGTGCGAGTGCGGAACGACGAACACCTTTAATTTGTGATGGCTGTTGTATCGTAAAGGGTCATATTTGATATTCCAGCCCTGCTTCCAAGCCCCTCCATCAATGTCAGCAAAGTCCATTTGTTCATACAGCTCTAGCATCTACAAAGAATTACATTTGAAATGTTTTAGTAGAAGTTCACATTAGAACGTGCGTTCAATTATTTTTGTAGATATTTTATGTTTATAAATGATCTGCATTTGAATATAGCTATATGTTAGTATCTACGAAATACAAGAAAGATCGACAAATATTTTCACTTACCTGTACATCCACGTCGGGCACCTGCTGCATTACATCGGCGCAATCCCCGCCTATAGCCTCAACAGCCATGGCTTCAGCCTGTGGCTGTGGCTGCATCGGTTCATTTCTTGGAAGATTATGGTTATTGGTCAGACGTGCCCGTAGATTTCGCATTTCCTCGCCATGTTCGTTCAATCCATTCTCCAGCTTCTGCAATTTGCTTTCGATTGCAACAAAATTTGGCTGGGAATGTGCACGGAATTAGCAAAACATCTGATCTGATAGCACTAATTTGAATCAAATGTACCTTTTTTGCGTTTGCAGCCGGCGCAGCGTAGTTCAGCAAAACATAAAGACTCAGAAAAACGAATAGACAGCCGCATGAAATAACCAGCGCAAATCTTCGGCGAATGCGCAGCATTGCAGCGTATAATTTAAATGAACATGGATACCAATAGCCAACAGTCAATAAACGACGAAAACTAAGCAAAACGGTTAAGTTACAACTTTTTCTGACTACTTGCGTGGTTTTTTTTGCATAAACAATTCTCGAAACTTATTCCATCGATACGGCAATAGCAGCATAACAATACCATATTGATTCAGTACGAATAATTGCAGTGGCAACGCTATCAAAGCATAGTGACTGATAAGAGGGTTGAACGACACTGGGATTTTATTTTTGTAAAGAAGAATATTTTTCTTATGAAAATCTCTAACATTTATGTTTACCAAATTATATTGGTTATAGATAAATTAATTTTCAATAATTGGATTTTCAATGTCACAGCTGCGTATTTGATAAGTCCGGCAATTTTATTTTTATACTTTGATATTTTTGCTCAGCTCTTATGTGTTAAAAGTAATATTCGGGACTAAATCACTGGCGCGTAAATATTGGTCTTCTTCCAATTGATAACAGCCGCTGTTGTAACGAAAATCAAATACGATTTACAAAATTTATATTCCATTATTCCATTTAAAGATGGGATAATGTTTTGACATGTGTAGCTACAATTTCTTGTGCGCCATTGCAGTAACATAAGGCGTCGAGTGAGAAACCGTGTGGTTCCGAGTCCTTTGGATGCTGTGTTTGTTTTTCATAGCTCAATCGATTTCTTCAGAGAGCAACGCACCATCGCCACCCACGCAACATAGAAGGAACTAATTAGAATTATTGCGGTCCTACAAAACACACACATACATACATAGATGCTAATTGAATCTTATCGCGAAACAGTTTTAGAGTTTTTTGTCCACTGCACCATGAAGCGTCAGAATGTGCGTACACTTTCGCTCGTAGTCTGCACATTTACGTATTTGTTGATCGGTGCAGCAGTCTTTGATTCGCTGGAATCACATACAGAGGCGAAACGTTGGGAGTTCCTACAGTGTAGGTGTTTGTATAATTATATTGAAAAGTCACGCAAATAAAAAGTTATATTAGTGAATAGTCAACAATAATGTAAATGTAAATGTAGTTTTAAACTAGTATGCATTTGTGCATCAATTATATTCAAGGATGCATACATATTTTTACTATATATGTATGTACATACATATTCGTTCCATTCATCCCTTACGGAAATGTAGAAGATGAAAGCGTAGCTTTCAAATAAAATGTCCTTAAAGCAATGAACTAGCATTTCAAAATCCAATAGTACGCTACTACTTACAATGATTTCTTATCATATTAACTCTTTCAGCTGTTAAGTCGAACTTTTTGAAGAAATATAATGTCACAGCAGAAGATTATCGGATGCTCGAAATAGTCATAATTGAGAATCGGCCACACAAGGCCGGTCCTCAGTGGAAGTTCGCCGGTGCCTTTTATTTTGCTACCGTGGTTCTGGCTATGATTGGTTATGGACATTCTACGCCAGTAACTATAGGAGGAAAGGCATTTTGCATGGGATATGCAATGGTATGAAAACCCCGAACTTTCAATATAATCAATATTCATTGAATGAAGCAACTATTTTCAGGTTGGAATCCCACTCGGGCTAGTCATGTTCCAGTCTATCGGTGAGCGTCTAAACAAATTCGCCTCGGTAATCATTCGACGTGCCAAGAGATATATGAACTGCTCCCACACGGAGGCCACTGAGATGAATCTTATGCTGGCAACGGGCATGCTATCCTCTATCATCATTACAACCGGCGCTGCAGTCTTCTCTCGATACGAGGGCTGGAGTTATTTTGATAGCTTTTACTACTGCTTCGTCACGCTAACGACTATAGGATTTGGAGACTATGTGGCGCTTCAGAACGACCAGGCATTAACCAATAAGCCAGGCTACGTGGCGCTCAGTCTCGTCTTTATATTGTTTGGACTAGCTGTGGTAGCTGCTAGCATTAATTTATTGGTGCTGCGTTTCATGACCATGTGAGTACAATCGAGAATACCAAAGATTCTTTAAAATTGCTCTGCACATCTATTTTTCTCATTTAAATAACTAATTTTAAATGAGTACAGTTCACCAAAATTTCTGGTGGGATTTTAAAAATATTGCCTGACAATACATTCATAATTGAATTTTCATCCTTTAGGCAAGCTGAGGACGCTAAGCGGGACGAGCAGGATGCACAGAACTTGGCTGCCGTAAACCAGCCAGTTACCTTCGAGGACGAGTACAATATGAATGGTAAGCTATTGGACCACGCCAACTACATGACCGAATACGACGAAACGGCATCCTTGTGCTCATGCACTTGCATAGGAGGAACACGCTGCTTGAACCACGAGCAGTTTATGGATCCCGACTTTCAGCCAACGGACATCATTGAGAGCACTTTGTCATTGAAGCGGGCGTCTGTCTGATATAGTCGGTTGCGGACATCGTCAGATGATCTGGACTAAAAGCCTTATCCATAAAACATTACAGTGCAAGTGATTAAGCAGAGAGATTGCTGCTGCCGCCCAATTGAGGCAAATGTACCCACATAGAAAACCCAACCATTAGCTCTACTCGTCGGTTGTTAGCTGGACTTCCCATTTACATATAATCAAATCTACAAATAATGTTTTGTAAATAGTCATACAAATCAAATTGAAACTTAATTACTCAAGTTTCCAAAACTTAAATAGTAGACACACCAAGAAAGTCTTTTAATGGACACATAAAGGAAGTGGCGCTTGAATATAGAAAAATAACCATTTTATAGTAAGGTTTCAAATGTATTAAATTAAAACTGTCTGCTCATTTGTATAGTAATATGTATTAGTATGTCCATACTTGTACATATAGGGTATGTAACGAAATAGCAATGTTTTGCTTAGATTTTTGTATAAAAAGTATTTATCACAGTTGCTGTGGTGGAGACTTCACAGCTTTTTAGTATGCTGTACTCATTCCGCATCCGAATCAGCTAGTATACACACATCGCCTAAAAAGTAAAGAAAAATATTCTGAAAAAAAAAAAAATTGAACGTGTGCCCCTGCTCGATCAGTTTTTTCGTAGTTTCGACAAAATAATCCCAATCATTTCTCGCATCTGTCGAAGCTCGCGGTCTTTGGAAGTCGCGAGTGACTATGCGTGAGATCGTCCACATTCAAGCGGGCCAATGCGGCAACCAGATAGGTGGAAAATTTTGGGAGGTCATTTCGGACGAGCACTGCATCGATGCGACGGGGACGTATTATGGCGATAGTGACTTGCAGCTGGAGCGCATTAATGTGTACTACAACGAGGCCACCGGTGCCAAGTATGTGCCACGAGCCATACTCGTTGACCTAGAGCCCGGAACTATGGACTCTGTGCGCTCAGGTGCCTTTGGCCAGATCTTTCGACCGGACAATTTTGTCTTCGGTCAGTCTGGAGCGGGCAATAACTGGGCGAAAGGACACTACACAGAAGGCGCGGAGCTGGTAGACTCGGTGCTGGATGTGGTGCGCAAAGAGTCTGAAGGCTGTGATTGCCTTCAAGTAAGTGACAGGAGACGCTAGGGAAGCTGCTTTAAAGGCAGACTGAATTAAATCTTTGGCCTTCTACAGGGATTTCAGTTGACGCACTCACTGGGTGGTGGTACAGGATCAGGCATGGGCACATTGCTAATATCCAAGATCCGTGAAGAGTATCCGGACCGCATTATGAACACATTTTCTGTGGTGCCCTCACCCAAGGTGTCAGACACAGTGGTGGAGCCCTACAACGCAACACTCAGCGTACATCAGTTGGTAGAGAACACGGATGAGACGTACTGCATCGACAACGAGGCACTTTACGACATTTGCTTCCGTACACTGAAGCTAACAACACCAACGTACGGTGATCTAAACCATCTGGTCTCTGCTACCATGTCGGGAGTGACCACTTGCTTGCGCTTTCCCGGTCAACTAAATGCTGATCTGCGCAAACTTGCAGTCAACATGGTTCCGTTCCCACGTCTGCACTTCTTCATGCCAGGATTTGCGCCATTGACATCACGTGGCTCGCAACAATACAGGGCCCTTACCGTGCCGGAGTTAACTCAGCAGATGTTCGATGCCAAGAACATGATGGCTGCTTGTGATCCGCGCCATGGTCGCTATCTGACCGTTGCAGCGATATTCCGAGGCCGCATGTCAATGAAAGAGGTCGACGAACAGATGCTGAATATACAGAATAAGAACAGTAGCTTCTTTGTGGAGTGGATACCGAACAATTGCAAGACCGCTGTTTGCGATATTCCGCCACGTGGTCTTAAGATGTCAGCCACGTTCATTGGGAACTCCACTGCTATCCAGGAGCTCTTTAAGCGTGTCTCCGAGCAATTTACTGCCATGTTCCGGCGCAAGGCGTTTTTGCATTGGTATACGGGCGAAGGCATGGATGAAATGGAGTTCACCGAGGCGGAGAGCAACATGAACGATCTGGTCTCAGAGTATCAGCAGTACCAGGAGGCTACTGCTGACGAGGAAGGAGAGTTCGATGAAGATGAAGAAGGTGGTGGCGACGAATAGGTTGATTCTACTACATTACCCTAACACAGACTTTGAGCGATTGTCCTACATATTGTCCTCTCTCTTTAACACATTACAAGCCACTTAAGCCAATAACATTGCCACCTAACATAACCGTCACAAAGAAACCAATGAAGAAGCAAACGACCGACAGACCAACTTAAAACTACACAAGCGCTTATACGTTGTTATCTAAGCTAATTATTATATTTAAGACTCCTGCCGATTGTACATATTTCTACACAATCATACACTCAACACATGTGGTGTTGTTCTCTCTGATATGGTAATAAAACGGACAAATTGTGAATACTTGAGGTGAATGTTCCGCACAATATCTTTTCTACATACATTACATTTTTGTTATTTTTTCGACTTTCAAGGTTAGTATCTCCGATTTTTATACCCTGTACCCAAAGGGTACAAAGTAGAAGAGCTAGAATTACCAATCTTGATATTCAGATTATCCTAGGTCGAGAGGGCGAGATTGTGTTTTTCTTTCTGATGCCCCTCCCACTCCCCTGTACATAACAGAAAAGGAAAAATGCCAACAGTATTAACAAAAAACAAAGTCTACTAATGCAAATATCTTTAATATTTCGTAGGAAAGCCTTTCTGTTTTAAAAACAGCGCTGCATCGACACTTAATTGACTAAACAAGGTGCTACACCCCTGTCAACCATGCTTTCTTGATTTCTTCGAATAATGTATCTAAATTCCTTTTGTTTTGCTGAGCAATAATTTTTATACCCTGTGGGGTGGTACAGGGTATTTAAGAGTTGAGCCTGCTCGACTTTAGCATTCCTTTCTTGTTACTTTTATATTTATTATTTCCGTCAAGCAAGGAGTGAACTTGTTTTATACTCTGTACATGAAATGTACAAGAGTATATTAGGTTTTGCGGGAGCTGAAAAATGTAACAGGCCGAAGGAGGCGTGGCAGACCCCACAAAGTATATATATTCTTGATCAGCATGACGAGACGAGTCGATCTAGCCCTGTCTGTCTGTCTGTCTGTCCGTCTGTCCGTCCGTATGAACACCTGGATCTCAGAGACTATAAGAGATAGAGACACCAAATTTTGCACAAAGATGCGTTATGTGTGTATTCTATACGAGTTTGTTTTATTTTTTTGATTTTCCCCCCCACTTCACCCCTATGGGGGTTTTCCCGATTTTCCATTCGTATAATCGCCTATATCTCGGAGACTATAAGACCTAGGAACACCAAATTTTAATCCCAGATGCCTTATGTGAATACGCAGAAAATGTATATTTTGGAATTCCCCTCCCTCCCCCCTCTACCCCGCAAATCGTTACTCCCGTAATTCTTGGAATTTCGTACTAAAATTTTGGAAATACCCCCAGTTGGTTATTATGTGTCCGTATGCCAAATTTCATTATGATAGACCGATTTAACAAGAAGTTATAGCCATAAATATATTTTCTGATGCAGCGCTGCCCGCGGCTGTTGTTGATGTTGCTGTTTGGTTGACTGTGAAAATGCTTACACATACACGAGTTGATGCGCATAGGCATACATACACTCACACAGACGCAATTGCTATGTAAATGTGCAATTATACGTGAGTTCGAATACCGAGAGAGGTAAAATCGATCAAATTTTTTTTTTTATTTTCTTAATTTTTTTATTTTCTATAATTATTGTAAACATATGTACAGAGTATTTCAAAGACGGGACACCCGACTTTATTCGTTTATGTTATCAATACATCCACTTACTTCTCCCTTGTCAGAATTCTCTCGATGCGGAATATGAGGCCAACTCCATTCTATGAGAAACACTCAAATATCTATTAAGCCATACTTGACCAGAGTTAAGACGTTTTGGATTAAGTTTTACTACTTTTTGGTTCGCATTTATTTTCCACCATAAAGTCCAAGCCTTTTCGTAATTGTCACCGTTTGATTGATGCGTAAGTTTCGCCGATGGACCCGAGCCTCAAGCAAACGACCGGCGACAGTTTCTTCAGATATTGTTGTATCGTTTTGATACCGCAGTTTGAGCTGGATATCTACAGATCCCCTACGGGGATCCAAATTATCCATTTGTAAAATCTTGCCATCGGCAGCCCAACGGGTCAACCTAACCTAACCTAATCTTGCTATACGAACTTTTAGAAGTTTGAACATCTTTCTTGATGTAGAACATGTGCTGTGGTGCGAGTTTTTCGGTAATGGTTAAAAGCACTAAAAACAATTATCCTACAGCAATACATATCTGTGTTGCAATAGCCTAAAACGTCATACAATTCTTTTGAAGTTTAAGGATTGATTTGCTCATGACTGGCGTACAACTTCTGTCATTAAATTATAATTCGTATAATCACAAACACACACAGACACGCATAATTATTGTACGCATATGTATGTACAGAGTATTTCAATGTCCGGACACCCGACTTTAGCTTCTCTACTTGTTACACAGTAGATTGGTTCCAGAAAAAGTCGTGTAAAATAGTAATTGATATGTTATTCTGAATCGTGCTAAATAGAATAAAGTCGTGCAACCATATAGTAAACATATAAAATGTTTAATTTTCTAGCCGTGTTTAATCAAAACCGTTTAAAAACAGAATTAGGTACTCTTGTACATTTCATGTACGTCGACAGACAATCAGCCATTCTTATTCATTAAAAAATCGACTAGTCCAATTTGAATTTAGTAAGTAAAAATCTGCCGATAAGTCTTTAAATGCGACGAATGGCAATCCTGTCAATGCTTCTATTTGACAGTTAAAAAGTCCCTTGAGGAAAAAGGCAAATCAGAAATGTATCCAGCTATTACGCCATGTTCCTCGAGATCTAGCTGCTTGCGCAGTCGAAAACTCATTCGACAACACCCGCTAGCCCAGTTGCTTAAGCCGACATCAGATTTTAAAACACCCATACCGGAGGACGAGACGCAGTGTGAAACTCATAGCGATTCATTGGTGTACCATAGCGATGAATCTACCGAGCAGAATAGGAACTCAAGTACTATAAGGCATACAAGAAGCTCCCGCAACACCATGAATTAATACTCAAAATTGACAAAATAAATGGTCTCTGGGCAGCTGCAAATATATTTTACGAACTAATGAGAGGAAATTAAGTTGACATAGGTTGAGTGAATATTTGTGACAGGAACAGTAGAGCCTTAAACATACATATATGTGTACATATTAATTAGCTAACTGAAAATATACAAGCGCAATTAAATAATACAATAATTTTGAGCTTAAACATCATCGAAAAGTCCTCGCGGCGGAGGTCCTACAATGCGGCTCTCATGCTCGTACTCATCGAGCGGCTGCTGCTCGTTAGTGGTGCCTTTGAAGCCTACTTGCACATGGGTGCTTACACCAAACCGTTCGTTAATTTCCTCGGAAAGCGAGCGTGGCACGCCCAGGGCAGAGGAGGAAGCCACAGCGGCATAATCATAGCCCTCACCATCTCGCAGCAATCCGTCGGCTGGCGTACGACTACCAGATAGTTGATCAACACCAACGGGGGCGCCGCCCAAGCTGCGATATTTGGAGGCATTGGTCAAGGGGTCACCGCCACGGCTAAAATCACGGCGTCTGGCCATGGCCTCTTCAGCTCTTTGGCGTCTGCGTTTTTCACGCGCTATAAGATCCTTGCCCTCCTGGACCAGTTCCGTAGCAAGGGTCTCATTCTGTAAAAACTGCTGAAAACCCAGCGCGTTCAACGCACGGCTTCCCACACTAAACCACGTGGCCAAACAGAATGCAAGCATACACATGGGAAAGTAAATGTTAAAGCCATTAGCAATGATTCCAATAACGTCCATGTGACCCATAATTTGGGTATAATAAGTTTCCATGATCCGCTGCAAGAACGTCGGAAATTTGGTCAATTATTATTCGGTGCTTATTTTGCTTTCGCTTTTAAGTTTTCTAACAAATATTTCACCTCTTTTCATCAAGTGTAAGGGCTACTCACCTTTTGTATTATGTGCGAATCCATGTGTATCAGACCCAAAAAGTTCAAGCACATAGGCGGCGTTAGGCGACAGAGAAGCATACCGCTGAAGATCAGACTGTGTTCGTTCGTCTGATGATGGGGTGCCAGGTAGTAGAGGTTGAGGAACCGTATGCGTAAAATGGTTGAATAGGTGCAATAGAAGAAATAGCAAAGCACGATCATGGAGAACAGCTCAATGGTAAAAAAGTCGTAGCTGGACTTAGCCACATTAATAACATTTGCGAATATGGATAAGACAGGATGACGGCTGAAGAACGTAAGTTCACTCCAAACGACCATGGCCGACATAACAGCGCTGAGAACACATAGCGTCTTAAGAAAAGGCGCCCTCAACAGACACTCCCAATACCATTGCACCGTGGGACTGTAGCATATACGGTCCAGCTGGGAACGCTGACGACTAAACTCGGTTTTGAAGCGGTGCTCCGCTGAGTGGATATTACGCGCTACATCCTCCAAATGCATAACTTTTTCCACCTGCACGCTCCACAGCGCTTCGGTGCGTTGCAATGTTTGCAAAGACTTTATGACTTGCTTGTGTATTCGAACCAGCGCCTTTTCCGAAGGCACGATAGTCGAGCTGGTGCCCCCGAGGCCGTTACCACCGCTACGCGCATAATTTCGACTAGCACGTTCCTGTAGCTCGATTGGCACCTTGCGCAAAATGGTCTCTACGCACGGTCGTAGCTCGTGATTGTTAGGCACGGCGCGGCTGATGCATTGCAACGACTCAAGTACATCGTCCACATGTTCCTCCGCTTCCGCCTTGTCAGTGCTCAGCTTGGCGGCCTTAAAATAGGCATATTGCAGTGTGTAGCCCGGCTTGGCATTGTTCCAGAGAGAGCGAGGCACCTCCACTAACGCGTAACCAAGAAGCAGCACGAGAAGAAATAGGCCCCATGTGTTAGACGCCGACGAGGCTATTGCCTTTAGCTTTTGCCAGTCAAGCGAGACGCCTTTGGCGGCTATGTAAATGAGCAGGACACCACAAATGAATAAGTAGGACCCGTAGTAGATGGCGTTTTCGATGAGCGCCGATTTAAGCTTGCCCTTGATGTTGAAGTCGCCGGCCTTTAGGTAAGATTGCATTAGAGGCATGATCAACCAGGTGAGGAACTGGGAGCTCCAGTATATGATGCGCCATAGATTGGGAAACACTGTCTCGGGAACCATGCCCCAAGGCGCCTGGCATTCTTGTTCAGTGGAAAGTGTTGATGTCGATATATTTATGCTGCCATTTTTAGGTACCAAATGCTCCGCCAGGCATTGACGGTACAGCGTCTGCGGAATAAGCAGTTCTTTGCCATCCATATGTTAACTTAGGTATGAATACTCACCGAGGTAACGTCTAAAGGTATGGTGAAAACAATAAGAAATGAGAAACACCATGCTGTCAGAACAGAGATCGTGACTAAGATGTGCTGACGTTGTATGTTGCCATATCGATACAGTGAGATGCTTGCGAGGAATAATGAGGCAATGATGCCAAAAGTTAGCAAGTATGCCATTCCTATGCTACTACTGTGTGGTTGATGTGTGCGGGGTTATATGTGCAGTTCAACTCCCAGGTAATGATGTCACGGCCGCAGCCTAAGCGGCGGCCTATTCCGAACCACCAGCTTTGTTGGTGTTGTCGGTGCTGTTTCGCGTTGTCCGCTTCTTTTGCAAATGTCGCGCAGTCTCGCGGTGCATCGCCTCGAGGCGTTCCAGAGCTTGCGACTTTAATGGCAGTAAGTGCGGTTTGCAGAAGACAAGTTCGTCCTTGTGTTCAAAAAAGAGTTTTCCTGTTGTTGGCTCGATAAGATCGATTCGCTCTTTCACTTTTCCCAGTAGCTCCTGCTCTACTGCCGACATGCTCGCATTTGCCGGCTACTCATCAAAAAGAGTCTGTACAGTCCAATTTCAACAAATAGGTATGTTAACGCGTAATTAGTGTTTTTCGATCGATTCGTCAAAGAACATAAAAGCAGGCGGCCACGCAGCCTTAAAGAACGGCCGCAAATTCCCTATAGTGTGTGTTAAAACAAGTGATATGGTTTAAGTGTGACACACACACGCACACAGTTACTTATAAATTTTATTTGTTTTATTTAGTTAAATATTGGTTTTTTATTATTCAACTACAATTGAACAGTCACTAAAACAGCCAGTCACCATTGAGTGGAACTTTTAAGACTCGGTCAGACGAGCTAATTCTGTGTAACTTTCATCAAATTCGGAATCTGTTGCAATGCTGTTAATAGTAGTTTGGACTAAATACAAAACAATACAACAGCCTGATTTTTAATATTGTAATGTTTTTGCTTTTGCCGTTTAGCACCGTTTAGTGCGAATATTTTTTTGGCCACCTACTATTACGACTATGATATTTCCATCACCAATTAGTCTTTAGTACTCATGAATTAATCGTTATTATTGAGAAAAAGTTACGAATGTGTTATGTAGAGTTGGACAATGTTGATAGGCCAAGGTGAAATGGAATAATAATGGAGTAATCTGAAAATTACGTGTTTTCCAACACATGAAATGCTGTTGTTAGTAACATTTAATTTGGCTACCGTCTATAATTGCCGGTTAGTTTGTTTACTTTTTATTCTTGTAAAATTTGGGCTTTTGGTTTTTTATTTTGGTTTTTTTTATTCGCGGAGCATTATTCAGTATTTCTTTGCAATTGCTCTTATACCTTGAATGCAATTTTTTTAAAGGTATAAGGGATGTAATAATCAAATTTGTATTTAGATATTTACCTAAGCCATTAGCAGAATAAGTTTGGCTATTTTTCCAGATGCCCCTACCACTGTTCCACTGTGAATAATTTTTTATATCCATAAATGTAATTCTTAATTATATTTTAAAAGTAACAATAGTATATTTTGTGTTACTCACTATTTTCTTATCATTTATTATAATAAACTCTTATACAAGTATTATAATAAACTCTTATATAAGTAGGACAGCCAAAAGTACCATTATTATTTCTTTCAGTTCTTCTTTGTTTGCAATTGCATTTCTTATATTCTCGATTTCTAATCAATGATGCATTTATTAGATTTTTGTAAAGTTTCATCGAAATCAATGGACTATGTTCTAATGTACAAATGTATATCCTATGTATCATGGCGTAGATGAATAGAAACTTTAGCAACAAGGTTAAATTAGTCGACTGTTGTGGAGAGACAGAGGTGTGTACAGGATTTCAACTTTACAATTCTACTTGTTTTTTAATATTCTAGCGAGAGGTGTTAGAAAGTGGATTTTCTTGGTCGACTCTTCGCTTAAGTCGTAATAATAGTTTCGCGTAGGCTTTGTCCCTAACATATTCAGGGTCTAATTTTTGAATAGCATTTTTCTTTCTGCTCGCTATGCAACTACTATGGGTAGCGACATGCTCCTCTTTGCAATAGTTGTGCAAATGTACTCCTTGTCGCTACTTTCTCTACACTTATAGAACTTTGCCTGATTGCGCTTACAGAATATATAATATACAAAAGGAACTGCTACTTCAGAAAGCATATATTAATTGCAGACGAGTATGGCAAGTGGAGGATCTTAAAAAATATTCCGTCGAAAAACTAAACATGATTTCAGTCTATGAAGAGATGTCTCTCCTTTTAGTGATATTTTTGTAGAGCTCCTGTAATTTTTGAAACTGTTCACCCAACTCTAGCCATAAATGTAATGCCCATGCTCTTGCAGCAGTTAAATATATTTATTTTAAAGATATACATAAATAATTTGCAGGTACAGTAAACAGCAGTTCAAACAAAAGTACCATCTACCATCGGTCCAGTATTAGAATTCTGGATGGAGCAGTCTGGCAACGCCCTTACACTAAATACAATCAGTTGGCAGCTTATTGTTATTGTTTTGTTGGCAGAAAGACAAAGTAGGTGAAACTACATTTTGGGTTTTGCAGAGCAGTCAACATTGGAGTAATTAGCAAGGATTTAAAATATATCTGGGAACCTAGTTTGAGAAAACTGTCAAGCAATGGATGCAGTACATATCGATGTGGAAAAAGCGCACGACTGCCGCACCAGCGGCGACGGCATGGAAGAAACGTCGACAGCAACAATAAAAGTAGAACAGACTCAACAGCAGCAGGTATTAACATAAATGTTTATGTATAAATATACATAAGTTCCTTGTGCCGAAGTTACTTTTTTTTACTATATCGAACAGCCCGATGCAAAGAAGACCAAACGCCCACAACTGTCGCGTAAGGACAGCACAGTGATGCAGGAAGAGGCCGTTGGTCGCAAATCCTCATCAAGTAGCACGTCCGGGCTGCCCTTACCAGGACTGCACACACTGTACAGACGACCAGATGTCGTGACCCGCAGCATTGCGCCAGCCATGCCAAAGGGCGAGCTGGTACAGCTGAAACCAAGATTGGTGCATGCCAGCGAAATTTTGCCAGAACATAAAAAATCGAAACCTCCGAAATTTGTACCATACGAGCCCTATCCAGGCGCTGTGAATCCGATGGATCCGCAGTCAGTTAGGCATAAGCCACAAAGGGTAAACAAGAATAATCTGGACATAGGCGTGCTGGTGGATCAAGTGTCAACGCTGCGGACCCAGGAACTCGATCCACTGGCCAAAGGCAGTGAAGAGAAGGCGGACAGTAATGAGGAATTAGAGCGATTGAAGGAGGAATTGACAAAAATTCGCGAAGAACGTGATCATTTCCTAGCCCAATACAAATTCCAGACTCAGGTGAACAGTGAACTTAAAAGTTTACTTGTCGCTTCCGTGGGCGAGGATTTGCAGACACGCGTCAATCTTTTGACTGAAGACAAACTGCAGCTGGCAAGAGCACTACTTGATACAGCCAACAATCTGACGACGCACACGGAACAAATAGAGTTTCTAGCCGGCCAATGCGAAGTGTGGCGTTCAAAGTTTTTGGCAAGTAGCGTTATGGTGGAGGAGCTGGCGCGCTGGAAGGCTGATCTCACGCAAAAGAATCAAATGCTTAACGAATCAACAAAGCAGCTTCTAAACGCAACCCATCAAATACGTGAAATTCAACTGGAAATGTTAAAGAATTTGAAGTTCTTGGCAAAGATACGATATTTAAACTTGCCCGCCACGGATGTGATCAGCCTAAGTGCCGAAAACTTGAATATACTACAGCAAATGGTGCTGCACTCTGGTGTAGGTATGCCTGAGGCCAATTTGAAACTTTCCAGCGCTAGCACAAGTCCGCTGTGTGAAGCAGAAAAGTACGCCGTAAAAGTAAGTTTCTAAAGCTGAACTGTTAACAAGTCTCCACACTCTCCACATACGATTACAAAACCATTAACTTTTCATTACCACTAGGCCTTACAATTCATTAGTCAGCCGCTAATGGCAACTGACGATGCCATACGTGCATTATTTGGTCAGGCACAACGCACACAGTTTGTGCTTCCCAAGGCAGAGATCGACAATCCAAGTGCCAGCAGTGAACAGGAAAAGTGAGGGATCATTAGCAATATTAGTTAAGTATTAAAAATGTCTTTGTAAATGTTCTGCATATTTTAATGTTTTACATTTTTCTATTAAGAAATTCAAAAGACAGAAATGCAATAAATGTAGCCAAATATTTTATCACTTGGCTCTCCTTTGAGTGCCGTAAAGGTCCAGCCTTCGTTGTGTGAATATAGGAATTTGTTGACGAACTTGTTCCACCAGCGAGAAATCCACATCGGCTACAAGTGTTTCTTCATCCACTCCAGCACTTTTCAAGACCTTTGCCCATGGATCAACAATCATGGAATGCCCGTAGGCAACGTAGTCAGCGCTGGTATCGCGTGCTGGGGAAGTAGTTACAACAAATAGTTGATTGTCATTGGCACGCGACCGTTGCAGCAGTTCCCAATGCAAGGGACCTGTGGTCATATTAAATGCAGCTGGATAGACAATCATTTCGCATCCTTCATTACGATACAATCGCGCCATCTCCTCGAATCGAATGTCATAGCATATGCCAACCCCTATTTTACGTCCATCAATATTAATTACACAGAAATCGTCGCCCGATGACAAAGTTTCTGACTCTTTGAATCGTACGCCGCCCTTTACATCAATATCAAACAAATGCATCTTGCGATGTTTGCCAATCAATTGGCCACTAGGATCCCACACCGTACAGGTGTTGTAGATGGCATCGTTCTCGCCCAGCTCTGGTATGGTGCCGCCGATGATGTAAATGTTATGTTTCTTGGCTATTCCGGATAATTGTTGCGACGTGTAGCCGTCTGGTATACGCTCCGAATATTCACGAAAGTATTTCGTGCCATAGGGGCAGTTGAAACATTCGGGTAAAGTTATTAGACGAGGCTTGTGCTCTTTCACAGCTGCCTCGATCTTACTTATGGCATTTTGCACATTAGCAGTTTTGTCCTTTGACCCCTTAAGCTGAAGAAGAGCCAGGCGCATGACTGTCATTTAAGCAATTATTTAATTGTATCACGTTCAAATAAATAAACGACTTACTACTGTTTGACTTGTTCATGGTACGTCACTGCAATTAAACAAAACTCTTATCTTTTGGTTTACGTGCTTGTGGGATACGCTTTGATAACAACAAAGCAAACTAACCACAGGTGTTTCCATTTGAAACAGTCTGGCATCACCAACTGGCTTCGAAGTATGAAAAATAATTCTACAGACAATTTGACTTCCATTGGTATGCACAACCATTAAAATACAAATATTAAATAAGAAGGAAAAACATTGATACTTCTTTTATTTTATATTTGTACGACAGTCACAGTCAAAACTGGAATGACAAAAACCAATTTAAAATGTAGGAAACTGAAATTTTGGCCAAATATAGTTTTTTTTTCAGCCGAAACAAATGCGATTCGACTCGGCCGTTTATTAGTAATCTTGTAGTTCGCGAAGTGGAATTCAAATTATTTTAAATATGTAGAATATTTGATGATTTGCAAGCAAAATATGTAAAATTATTCCTAACTTATATAATGATTATAAAGATTAGTGTTTAAATAAAATTTCAAACATTTAATATTTAACGCACTGTTTAGTTGATGGGCAGCGTTTGGATGGGATGGTCTACAATCAGTTTGAGATTCTTGTCTGGCCATTCAAACTCCAGCCGCTGAGTCGGTGCTTTATTACCATCAAGATTCGCGTTGGAAAAAGCTTCCATCATGCGCGGTACTAAATCGTCAGGAATCAGCACTTGAATCCAGTACCCGAGTATTGAGTAGGGATCATTTTTGCTAACAGCCGCTCCCGTAACAGTTTCCGCAACTAATGTCATCGCTAGATTCTGGGATTTAAAAGTAAAGTGCCTTCCATGGCGTATTCGATCTTTAATAGCCAACAGCAAATATTTTGCCGCATAAGGGGCTAATGTTATCTCAATACTCGACAAGGAAATACAGTCTGGAGCCGGCATCTGAAAGTCTAAGGGACATGATTTGTGCAGAGAGTTGCTGCTTAGAGACATCGATTGTGGAAATCGTGTCACTTCCCGTTTCACAAGTGTCACAGAATCGCGATTATTTTCGTCGGTGACATAGCGCTCGTTGAGCGTATGGAAGTCCACAATCTCTTGCTTAACTTGCGTCTGACGTTCCCTAAATGTAAACTCAGCATTGACGCCTGCCAGGTCAGAACCCTGCTTCTCTAAATCGTCCTGAAGGTTCAGCAGTGTTTCTGGGAACAATTCAAAAACGCTCCGCGCACGTCGCATATTAGTCACTAACCACTCTCCGCCTGTCTGTACATCTTGCCGCAAAAAGTTTAGGACTCCTCGTCCATTCCAACGTGAAGCTTGCTCCAGCTCCTCCTCGGTAACACCAACAATTTGACAAAAGTCCACCGTGCCAAATGGTGTTTCGATGCATGCCAACTGCGGGTCTTGTGCAACTAGCAGATTCTGTAGGAGCGTGTTCGCGCTACCATCCAGGCTCTTGCGCCAAGGAATGTTGTCTCCGAAGCACAGGCCGTTTCCAGTTTGAAAGCAGTAGAAAGCAATGGCTTGTAGCAGATTTGCCGGCCATGTTGGAGGCCTGACAGGTTTTTCTGGGCACTCCAACTCCTGTCGCAACTCAGTTTCGCTCTTTTGCAGCCGAAACGTGAGTTCGAAGCCCATACCGGAGCGTGTAGACTGTTCGCCGGCATCTCGCACATGCACACGTGAATCTCCATGTAGGTCACTTAGTCCAAAACTTACGTAGTGCCAGTGGGGCGGGACTTTTCTATCTGCGTCGCCGTTGTTGTTATACATACTGATGTAGTCCAATGGATCCTGGCCTCCGAGCCAATACTTTAGAAGCGTAGTTACTTGTAGAGGATTTGGCTGGTCCGGATATAACTGTTGCAGATGTTGGATTAACGCTTTCAGTCCTTCTCCAACTGCATTTTGTTGATCGCTGACGGCTGCTGAAGCCATAGCAGGTGGTGCTTGTGTTTGTATGTATGTTTTTTTGTAGTTGAGTCCAGGCCTTTTTTGTTTACATATATTATTTATTTATTTTCCTTTATTCATTAATTGTTTCATGGCCTTTTAAGTCCATCCGACGGTTCCTTTTATTTTACTTTATTTTGTGCAATGAAAACACAAACAACATGTAAACAATTTTAAATAGTCAAGTTGTATTATTTGATAGGGGGACGGTCACCGATAAAAGCACTCGTTCTCGATCGGAGAAGACAAGTGCTGTCTATCGCAAGTGCTGTACAACACAAATAGGTGCATTCTAGGGCCGAGTTGCATGTGGATTGGCAGGTCTGGGATCTGGGATCACATTCATCGTTTCCGTCCATAGGATTTAATTTCCTAAATTCTGTAGCGGGTACGTGGACGGTGTGATGCATACAGACGTTGCAGAATTATCTAAATTCTTCTTCTTGGCTCGAAAAATGATCAATAAATATATAAATATCTACATACATTTTCCAAAATACATTTTTGCTTAACATACGCAAAAAAACAAGCTCCACCAGATAAAAGCCGGTAAAATATGAGAATATTTATTTTCCGATATATCGTAGTAAAACTCGATGCATAAAGCTTTGCATCTTAATATCGATATACATCCCAAAGTGGTTCCTTTCCTAAATTACGGGTTGGAATAAAGAGTGGCAGCGTGGCGTTGGGTACAAAAAGTGGCAGCGCTGAGTGTCAGCTGTGCACATTTGGTGTACATTGTTGATGATAATTTGATCACGTAAGTTTTTCAAATCTATAAAGAAAAAACGCAAATGAATGTAATTTTTGGTGTTCAGGATGTCTGCAACCACTGTCCTTCGATCTTTGCTGCATGAGCTGCGTCAGGCAGCGCCAAATGGATGCATCAAGGATTCGTTAGCGGCACGTTACATTTTAGCACAATTTAAAAAGTTTAAGACAACCGATCAGCAACTGTGCAAAGCCCGTAACGAAGCGGTCTTTCTGGGCCAGACATATCTTACATATTTGACGAGCACTCGTAATTACAATGAGCTACACAAGGAATACCATGGACGTGGCGAACGTTCGGTGAAGGAAACAGCGGATTTGGTGGGCTTCAAACTACCAACGGATCCAAAGTGAAACAACGTTTCATGGATATATGGATATTTTTGCATAGTTTTATTAGTGATTAGCGGTGAATAGTTATGGTTGTAAAGTTTAACGTGCAGCATTCTATTGTATCATAGTCCTTATCAAGGCAAACACACGATAAGACACACTCATGAGCTGTCAAGTATAAATAAATAAATGTGTATGCACGTTTTATATATTATTTATACTGTTCCTTACCTGTTTAAATGTGTCTACCGAAAGGGCCAAAAAACCCATAGCGCTGAGCTCAGCGGGTCTTTGAGAACGCAACATTATCAAAAGGAGTTGTTTTTTGTAGGCCTGCGAGGCATTGTACCAGGTATGGCTGTATGCAGCTTGACCCACATAGGTACTCTGAAAAAATTATTAGTTACATATGAAGATATGTTTAAATTGAACGCACAAATATGTTTCTTACCAGCGAGGTTATAAGTTCTCCATAATAACAGATCAAATACAGCTGAGCAATAGCCGTGAATATAAAAATCAAATATGAAACACCTTCCAGATCCAAACCCTGCAATAAAATATAAACTCCAACAGTGCAAAACACCCCTGCAGTGGTAATTAAATTTAAAATCAGTGACTCGCCAAAGATGCTGTTAATCTCCTTTTGTATTCTGCAATGGAAAAAAACTGTTGATATTGTTATCCAATCAGTGTTCTGTGGCTCCACTCACTCCATTAGCCTTTGATGCTTTACAACTAAATGTGCTAAGAACTCGCAATCTGCAACATCGTGCTGCCTGTCAGGCTGATATGCTTGAAGAGTACGTCCGATGTAATCAAAATGCATACAAAGCTGCCCCACAAAGCAAACCATCCACAAATCCAGTCCCATATTGGAATTAACCATCACAAGAGTGTGTAAATTTTCTCCTAGGTAAGTACCAATATATCCCACAAGTGAGGGCTTCTCCGCGTCCAGGCTTATGAACGGATAGTAATGAAGATAGCTGAACTGGGCATGCTGACGACCCATATGCAGCCAATCGCGAACATACATATACATCGATTCCAGTAAGGGACCTTCTACCATCAGGGCACTGGCGCCAAAGTAGAGAGCAATTAGAATCCGTAAGGCTCGGGACCAGTAGTATTTCTCGACCTGGTACTGCAGACGCATGGGTGTCGTTTGAGGATACAGTTCCGCAAGTCTTGCATGTACGCGCTGAATGCTGGACCGATGCCACAAATAAGTTACAAATTTGGTGTCTGAGTTAATAACAAATGTTATTTCAGTTGCATATCTCATGATAAGAGATATGTGAGTCTCTTTGAAGTCCATTTCGTAGAGGCGATAAATCATAATGCAGTTGAAGAAAGTGTGAATGACACCACAGAAGATATAGAAGACCCACATCAGCAGTTCTAGCCAAGCTGACTTCGATCGTCTCAGTGCATCGTAGCCCATTAGACGAAAGGCCGTCTCTGGCATCCAGAAGAAGTCGTCGAAGGAATACAGCACAGGCGCCATCCCTAAGCGATATGTTCCAAGAACAGGCGTTGAATAGTATTTTAAGCAATAAACCGTGCGGAAAATTTGCGGTTTTGATCAATTTGTCGCTTTCATGTGGTTTGGCTAACACCTTTCTAATTAGTCTGTTTGGAAATTATCTTACATACATACATATGTATGTGTATGTACTAATGTGTAAAGCCGCACACTAGATAACAGGATTTCTGTGGTCATCTATGTTACTAAAGATGTATAGTATGGCATTAATAAATATTCAAGAATATTCAAGAATATAATTTTAAATATTTAATAAAAACGGAAAAGTTTCGCATTGTCACAAACTCGTTTTAGCATTCGGGGCTTCATATATTCAAACCGTTCCATATCGGTAAAAATTTCAGAACACAAATTTCTTTGTTTTAGATCTGTCTATACAGATTATAGTACATGAAATGTACAAGAGTAGATACACCAAATTTTGCACAAACACTATTATTAAAATTTCATTCGTTTAATTTTGCCCCCTACTCCTCCGATAGAGGGGGTTTTCCGTAACACCTTTCGTATAATCATCTATATCTCGGACACTATAAGAGGACACCAAATTTGAGTTTTTAGATGCTTATGTGAATACGCCGAAAATATGTATTACGGAATTGGAATTCTGCACTCAAATTTGGCAAATACCTGCAATTAGTGGTTATGTGTTCGTATTGTTTGATCATGATAGGCCGATTTACAAGGAACTTATAGTTATATAATCTCTCACCAAGCACTACTCGCATCTGCTGATTGAAAAAGACATGTCCGCCTGTCTGTATCTAAACATGTTCGTTAGTCAATCCGTACGTCTATCTATCTGGATGAACGTTTTGATTTAGGAAAGAAGTGAGCCCACATTGATCAAACTCTCCTAGCACCTAGGCAAAAGAGGAGCCCCCCCTCCCCCCCCCCTTCCTCCTCTACAGAATTTTAATTTCTTTTTATTTTTGTTACAAATTTAACCCTAATTGCTTAAGTTATGAGCGAAACAAATTTTGTCCTAATGTTTATTACGCCCACAAACTGCAGTATCAAATTCCCTCTTCTCTTGTTGTTATGGTTTCTTAATTCATGAAGTTATAATAATTACCTTACCAGGTCCCAACGGATCTTGCTTAGGTCGCACATTTCTAAGCCCGTGTTTGCATCATCAGGTGTGCCTCAATGTAACCATCTGGACCCCTTACTTTTTACATTATTTATTAATACCTCACCTCTATCTTGTCACACTCTCATATGGTGATGATGTGAAACTTATTCTGACTTACAAAGAACCTTCTCATTTTCATCGCCTGCAGGATGATCTGAACTGCAAGCAATCTTGATGGTTAGCTAACCACTTGCATCTCAATTGCTCTAAATGCCTCATTTAGTCACTTATACGATTGACAATGTGCCATTGGAGCGTATTTCGACTGTTGAAGACCTTGGGGTTCTTTTTGATTAATTAAACGTTGGTCCAAGGAATTTAATGACCCTTATACCACTAAGCTTCTCTACACTGCTCTAGTACGCACTGTGCTTGAATACTGCTCATGCGCTTGGTCTTCGCAGTATAGAAAGCATCAGGAAAGTATTGAGTTTGTTCAGAAGCAATTCCTTATTTTTGCTCTACGTGGTTTAAGCTGGGATCCCGATCTCTGCTTGCCATCGTACTTTAGTAGAATGATGCTTATAAACCTTCCTTCCTTAGTAAATCGTAGGACGGTTCCACAAGTTGGTTATCGGTGAGGTTGACTCCTCTGCCCTCTTAGGTCGCCTTTCAGTTCCTTGTAGACCAACAATAGAATAAATTTCCTTCTCTACTTACTTTAGGTTTAGTTTGCTAGGTCTATAATGTCTCTGACCACATATGGCTGTGAATCGGGGCATAGCTGGCCAACTGGCAAATAAAATTCCCCCAACGTGTCGGAGGCATTAATAAACGTTATTGTACAGCTTTTGCTTAGGCTTTCTTATCTTTCAAGTTGAGATTATAATGTTACATTAATTGTATCATATATATTTAAATTTGTTTATTTTAATATACATAAATTGTTATTTTAATAATTATATTCGACGGAACTATTGTTGATGTACTAAATAAATAAATAAATAAATGATTGGCACGCATCTAATACAGTGACGAAAGTTTGTTCAAGAAAAGGGTATTTTACTGTCAGTCTTGCACATCTGCCACATTATATCTAGTTAATCCTTGTTTTGCATCCTCATTTTAAAATGTGAAAAATAAATGAACATATATGGAAAATACATCTACACTTTTCGTTGGAGTAAGCATTTATGCACTTTGTTCCTATTTGGCCTTTAAAAGCTGATCCCAAAAAAAAAGAAGTTTTCGCACGTAAATTAAAATGAATTTGTTGTCAAATTAAAAAAAACACATGGTACTTTGCGTTGCATGTGGCACTGCCACTAATCCGGTTAAACCAGAAACGATCTTGTTCCGCCTAGTGTAATATGATTAAGTAATAAATAAGTATCAAGCGCAAATCTTTTATCTACATATGTACATAAACTATGTATATTAGAACGCATGTTGTGAATTTTAAATTCAAAGCCAATTATTCTCTATATATTCAACCTTATGAAATTTTAATGTCTCCTGCTTCCTGCACAACCTGTTAACCTATTAATTACACAGTGGCAAACGGATGCATTAAGGACTCGTTAGCGGCACGTTACATTCTGACGGAATTTAAAATGTTCAAGACAGCTTGACTGCAATTGTGTGTAGCCGCCTTTCTGGGCCAGACATATCTTACGTATTTAAAGAGTGCATTTGGGGGGCTTCAAGCTACCAACTAATCAACAGTGAAACCATGTTCTTTTTATACTCTGTACATGAAATGTTCAGAAGTATATTAGGTTTGCGCGAGCTGAAAAATGTAACAGGCAGAAGGAGGCGTGGCAGACCCCACAAAGTATATATATTCTTTATCAGCATGACGAGACGAGTCGATCTAGCCCTGTCTGTCTGTCTGTCCGTCCGTATGAACAGCTGGATCTCAGTTGTTGATGTTGCTGTTTGGTTAACTGCTAACATGTTTACACAGACACGAATAGATGCGCATAAACATTCATACACTCACATAGACGCAATTGCTTTGTATATGTGCAATTATACACCCTTTACGTGAGTTCGAATACCAAAAGAGGTAAAATCGATCCAATTTTTTTTTTTTTTAATTCTCTTACTTTTTTAATTTCTATAATTATTCTAAACATATGTACAGAGTATTTCAAAATCGGGACACCCGACTTTAGCTTTTTTACTTTTTATACCCTGTACCTAAGGAGTAAAAGCGTATATAAGTTTTGTGCAATTGTACACATCTGTACTGAACATTTACACGAACATATTGCCACGCATAGATAGACATAGACACAATGTATTCTTTTAAAACTGTATGTACGTGTTATGTAGTTTTGATTTTATTAATTTTATTTAATTAGTTTAATCTTAAAAAAATCAACTAAAAAATATTTGCTTTTGCTTATATGGGATTCGGTACAGGGTATTTAAGGGTCGAGCCCACTCAACTCGAGCTTTTCATTCTTGTTGTAATATACATAGTATTCTATTGTATCATAGTCCTCATCAAGGCAAACATAAGACACACTCATGAGCTGTCAAGTATATTTAAATAAATGGGTATGCACGATTTATATATTATTTACAATGTTCCTTACCTGTTTAAATGTGTCTACCGAAAGGGCCAAAAATCCCATAGCGCTGAGCTCAGCAGGTCGTTGAGAACGCAACATTATCAAAAGGAGCAGTTTTTTGTAGGCCTGCGAGGCATTATGCCAGGTATGGCTGTAAGCAGCTTGACCCACATAGGTACTCTGAATAATAATATTGGATACATATGAAGATATGTATGAATTTAACATACAACTATGTTTCTTACCAGCGAGGTTATAAGTTCTCCATAATAACAGATCAAATACAGCTGAGCAATAGCCGTGAATATAAAAATCAAATATGAAACACCTTCCAGATCCAAACCCTGCAATAAAATATAAACTCCAACAGTGCAAAACACCCCTGCAGTGGTAATTAAATTTAAAATCAGTGACCCGCCAAAGATGCTGTTAATCTCCTTTTGTATTCTGCAATGGGAAAAAACTGTTGATATTGTTACCCAATCAGTGTTCTGTGGCTCCACTCACTCCATTAGCCTTTGATGCTTTACAACTAAATGTGCTAAGAACTCGCAATCTGCAACATCGTGCTGCCTGTCAGGCTGATATGCTTGAAGAGTACGTCCGATGTAATCAAAATGCATACAAAGCTGCCCCACAAAGCAAACCATCCACAAATCCATTCCCATATTGGAATTAACCATCACAAGACTGTGTAAATTTTCTCCTAGGTAAGTACCAATATATCCCACAAGTGAGGGCTTCTCCGCGTCCAGGCTTATGAACGGATAGTAATGAAGATAGCTGAACTGGGCATGCTGACGACCCATATGCAGCCAATCGCGCACATACATATACATCGATTCCAGTAAGGGACCTTCTACCATCAGGGCACTGGCGCCAAAGTAGAGAGCAATTAGAATCCGTAAGGCACGGGACCAGTAGTATTTCTCGACCTGGTACTGCAGGCGCATGGGTGTCGTTTGAGGATACAGTTCCGCAAGTCTTGCATGTACGCGCTGAATGCTGGACCGATGCCACAAATATGTTACAAATTTGGTGTCTGAGTTAATAACAAATGTTATTTCAGTTGCATATCTCATGATAAGAGATATGTGAGTCTCTTTGAAGTCCATTTCGTAGAGGCGATAAATCATAATGCAGTTGAAGAAAGTGTGAATGACACCACAGAAGATATAGAAGACCCACATCAGCAGTTCTAGCCAAGCTGACTTCGATCGTCGCAGTGCATCGTAGCCCATTAGACGAAAGGCCGTCTCTGGCATCCAGAAGAAGTCGTCGAAGGAATACAGCACAGGCGCCATCCCTAAGCGATATGTTCCAAGAACAGGCGTTGAATGACCTTTTAAGCAAGGTAGCGGAAGGTTTGCGCTTTCATGTGGTCTGGCTAACAGCTTTGTAATTAGTCTGATTATTATACACCAGACAACAGGATTTCCATTCATGCCGTAACGTATACGTCTATGCTGCTAATAATATAATTCATCGATACGAATAAATGATCATACATATATCAGAGAAACACTAGTGAAAATGTTAATGTCGGGCGTCCCGACATTAAAACCCTTTGAACCCAGTGTAGAATATTCATATAAATTAAAAAAAAAAAAATGAAAACTGAAATAAAAACTTTAAACGAAATTCTATTAAAAATGAAAAGTTTTGATCAATGATACCATCTTTGGGAAACAAACTCACGTGAAGGGTGTGACTGCACGTTTGATTGTTGGGTGCTGGGCATAAAGAAATTTGACAATTAACTAATTTCTCGCAAATGGCTTCCATTTTATGCTTCCGGTTTAACCAGTAATAAAACTTTTCTGCGTAGTGTAACACGATTAATTATATCTATATAAATTATGTACTTGTGTATTGGAACGCATGGTGTGAAAGGAAATTCCATAGCCAATTATTCTCTAAATACTTAACCTTATTAAATTTTAATAGATAGTGCTTCCTGTCCCTATTTACATTTTATCCAAAACGGCTAAAGGAAACAGGAACACAAATAATGCCCATTCTCCATGCCCTACGCCATTGCAGGTAGCGGTATTTTAATAAATCAATGAGAGTTATGCTCTCACAATAACAATGTCTTGCTTGTACCTAAATCTAGATTCCTAACAATCAAGGACCTCTCAATCATTAAAAATTTATTTTATAATTCGAATTCCACTGCACTTGCCAAGGACACAATCGGGGTAACTGACGCTTCACATATACAGAAATCGGGCTTAAAGATAAAAATTATAATAATAACAAATTCATAATACATATTTGTAAAAGGAAGGAAGATGTAGGGCAGACTACATTTAAAAGTATTCGAAGCGTGCGCTTGTAAGCATATCTTCCCCGGTATGGTGATACGAATGTTGATCAATTACCTATATAGACGTAATTATATTCCCATTTTACTACTCTGTATGCAAATTATCGTCCTTCTATCCTTAATACACGCACGTCTGATACTTTCCTCTTTAAAAGCCTCCCACATGGCTGTGAAATGTGAAGTTTATTAGATATAATTGTAATTTGGTTAGATTTGTCCTATTACGATTTTTAGCTTATAGGGCTTTATTATAACTTTTGAATTGTTTTTACCTATGCATAGCAAGTAGCTTGGTTAGAAGCTATTGAGCAGTGGAATACCCTTATGTATAGTACAATGAGCAGGGGTAGAGTCCCGCTGCAACCCCAGAGAGAGGAATGCAGACTCAAAACAGGCCCACTCACAGGACACTAGGTTTAGTACGTGCCCGTGATCTCCAATTTCTGGCGACTATAAGGACCAACTCGTTCTACGTAGGACTGCCAACGGCGGTCCACCGCTAACCTAACAAATTAAATGCAAATAGTTACGTAAAGACATAAGTTATATACAGTTTCAAAAGAATGAATTTTCATAGAGTTTTTGTCTATGTGGGCCATACAAAGTTTAACCGCAGCAGCAATAACAACATCTGCAGGCACAAATCCCTTAATACGATTCTTCCTTTTAAAGTGACCTTGACATGAGATTTGAGTATTAATTCCAAGAAATACAGGAGCTATGGAAAATAATGGCGGGCAAATGGGGTGCATTTACAAAAAAAATCGCACACATCGCTTAGTCTTTGGGAGAGCATATACCAAGCTTATTGATACCAGTTCTTATACTTATGCACAATGATCATGCAAGCATTCCACTTAACTAGTACCCTTTACCCTTTCAAAACAGGATACACAAACTGTCAGCGTTTTGCTCATGCTCTTGTTCTGAAGAAGAAGAGGCGAGCATTTTAATTTAAAATGCATATAGTATGTGGGTATGTGAGGTTCCCTCTGTACCTAGACTACTTAGGGTCACATGCATCCACGCTCATAAAAATAGTTGAGCATACATGTACAACAAAACTCAGTTGCTCGACGCCTGTCTACGCGTAATTTCCATAAATGCAACGCCGCACTTGTTGTGGCTGGGCCGCTGGCTCTGGTGTTCTTGGGCGTCTTTTACCGTTGCTTTGTTGGCTTTGTCATTGTTGCTGTAGTTGTTGTTGCTAGTGCTTACATAAAAGAAATTCCTGCACACAACAACAAATTGGCATTGGTGTCGGCCGCTGGATCTATCTGACTGGAATGCTAAGCAGCCAACTCCTTGGTGCGCTTTTGTTTGCCTTATTTCCTCGCCTCTCAATGGAGAACTTGAAGTGGCCGAAGCAAAGGCAAGTGAATGGAATTCTGCTGATCTGTAACCAAACGTGCACATCATCTGAAAAGATTTAACAGCTTTGGGTAACTGGGGCACTTATGGATGAAGTGCAAACGCATTCCCTCATTAAGCCAACCAGATGTCAAATTAATAACCACGCCTAGCACTCATTTATTCCAAAACATTCCAAATTTTTGGACTTGTAAAAAATAGGGAAGTACTTGTAAATACAGAATATAGTACAGTGGACAGTATTTAAGAAATTCTGTAGAAACGCACTTTCGGGTTTTCTAGGGACTATCTGAGTCACTATGCAGTCTGGACACCGTATTGAAATATCGGGCGTGCTCAGCTGCAATATTCCATCTTGTTAGCCTTCAACTTGCAGCCCATATCTGAGCTTCCTTCACTATAAGCTTTAAGTATTTCCGGAGACTACTTATGTTCACTTAAACAATATTTTTATGAAATTCTTTTCACTTATTATTTCCATTAGCATGATCTTCATATAATCCATATGCAGGAGACAATTTTATATTTACTTGCTTGTCTGACTGACCGTCCGTCTGTTCGTCTGTCCATCTGCCTATCTGTGCGTATGAGGTGTCGATTTACTAGAATCTTTGCAGGTTCTGTTTTACAATTCAACAATAACAACCAATTCAATTCTTCCAGCATATCTTGTATACCATTCTTATTTATTTTGCCTATAATCATTTTATTTGTTTTATTATTGCTTTTAAGCCTATTTCCTTTATTATATTATCTATCTATCTATCAATTTCAAATCTCCAGTATGTCTTTAAAGTTTCAGGTCTATACACCACAAGGACATTGCATTTTTCAAATAAGAACCATTTTATCGATAGAATGGTCATAGGGAATATAAGAATAATTTTAAGATTTAAGATACTTTTACAAAAAAAAAAGTATTTCCTTTTAGTTTTTATTTTTTTCATCTTAGTGGATGTAATTATTATTGAATTCGAAAAGTACAATAGTGGATATGATGGTATTACACTTTGAAACTTTTTGTTATGGTTAACATTTCTAGAGCTTTCCGTGACACCACAGATAAAATAATTTACTGTATTGAATCCCTTTAAAAAACGGTCATGAGCTCTGTAACAGGTAATTTTTCAGTAATTCTTAGTTAGTTAGTTTTAGTTTGATTTCAATATTATTATTTCAATAATAGCATTATTGCACAGCTCGGGTGCAGTTTGTCGTTATTGTTCTGCTTAGTGTGCATTGTGCGATGACTGTACCATATCAATCAAAAGTGTAAAAAAAACAATGAGGCAGGGTACCACTGTGTAGAGGGTACGATCATTGGATGGGGACAGTCGGTTGGAGACAGTATAAGAAATGAGTTCAGCTTGCTTTGAACTTTTCTCTCGTCAATTCCAGCAAGCCACATACTTCCATAAGAATAATTTATTCATTGGCTTCAATTGAAGAAAAACTACATTCATGAGCATCTGAAGACTTTGCACTACAAGTGTGCCAATTAGTTGCTTCATAACTCTCCAATTCTCCATTCCGTGCATCTAAACGGCGCCATCGGCGTGTTCTTATATCCATTTTCAACAACCGAGCGACGTCAGGTCCCCTGCACTTCTTCAGAGTCTTATGTCGCGAAACGGCGACGACACAAATTTCTGGGCACTAAAATTAGACGTGAATTTTAGAACACGCCGGGTGCAACCAAGTGAAAGTATTTCAAACTGTTGGTTGAGTGACTTTTGCTTAGTTTATGCAAACACAGCCAACACAGGCAAAATTCGAAATCAAGATATTATTTATTCGTATTTTTGTCTACAGAGTTCATTTCTTAATTACTATAGCTGCCATAACTTATTTTCTGCTGTCTCGCTAATTTCCCTTTTTGCGTTTGATCTGATACTGATAAGATGGAAAAATGGTAGACCAGATGTTATATGTGTACTATATCAGTACGATTATTGGATTATCTATCTGATTTGATCGATCAGATCACTGTATCATATACACGCAGGTGTCATACAAGCATATGTACATACTATACTCATGAACAAGAAAGAGTATGAAACACTATATTGTTTTATTTTTAAATATATTAGAACAGTTTGAGGATCCAGAATGGTGTCCATTGTAAAGTAAGTAAAAAATATGCAAAAAAGTGAATAATACTTCATAACGAAAAGTTAGGAGACATCCATATACAGCAGGATTTATAGTTCACAAGCCCTGAACAAAGTTTTTATAGTTAGTCACAGTAATGGGTAAATACATGTACAGGGTACAAACATACTATATAGTTAGCAAAACGAAGAAAAATGTGTAGTGATCAAGGAAAACACATACACAGGTGCGGTGGCCGTAAAATATGGGGCATCGTTGACGCCGTCGCCGCACAACCAATGGTAAATAGTTTATGAGACTGGGACGCAGTATGTGTGGGTTCTAGCTAAAATAAACACAATACGGGACTTACAGACAATAGCAAACATCCTAAAACCCAAAAGAACATACACAATCGTATGTATGAATGGATAGAAAAACAAAGGCCGTCCAGACACCGTCTGACTGGGCAACAGGCTGCCTGTCTGTCTCCCGGTGTCCCTGTCCCATGTC